CATTTGTACGTTTAATAATCGTTTTTCTGGCGCAGCCAGGCATGAGAAACGCACCCCCCCCCCCCCCAGCGTAGCTTGTAACAGACCATTGGGGCAAGTGCTGTTAGCGAGCACCTACTACCGCACATTCATACACGTGGTCGTCTTCTTCTTGCGTTCATGTCGAGGTTTGGCGGCTGAGCCAGTGGGATGACTTCAGGGTAGCCTGGTCAAAAACCTGAGATCCTGCTGTTGAATCTTCGAAGCAGGGCTATCACTGTGCGCGCCCCGGTTTGAGATTGGTGACCACAGTTGCACACTGGGCTATTCTTAATTGACGAATGATGGCATGTGAAAGCGGCATCTACAACGACAATCATCACCATATGTCCTACACAGACTGTTGGGGCAAATGCTGTTAGCGAGCACCTATCAAGACGATACCTATAGTTGGATATCTACATCATGCACACATTCACACACGCGCGCTCGCACACACATGCACTCTCATACATACATGCTCGCACACACTCACAGACGCACGCACACTCACGCATGCGCACAGCGGGAGGCAGGGGGGGGGGGGCAGAGAGAATTGGTGGTCGCGCATTGTTAGGGGCAAGCCCCCTGACCGTTCAGCCATTGTTCGTGATCTGTTTGGCTTGGAGCAGGGATGGCTTCCTAGTGGCAGTGTTCTCTCCAGCCCAACAACCCTCCTACCCCATCGCCCCCAATCCCTCATCCATCCAACCCCCATCCCTGCCGAATGCATAGCCCCACTCCCCGCTACGCCACCCCCAACCCCCCCCCCCCCAGCCTCTCGCCACGGCCGTCCGTCTCCTTTTGATGCGTTCACGGCCTTGCCTGCGTGGCCGCGCTGCTTGTTCGCCGCTGGATGATCAATCGTGCTGGGTGGCAACGAGGTGGCGACGGGGGGGATGGCGGCTGGCAGGGGGTTAAGGCATTGGGGGTTGTGAGCGGTGGGGAGGAGGTGGTGGTGGTGGTCGAGTGGGCAACGGGGTGGACGTTCACGATGGGTTGGACTTTCACGACGAGCGAGGAAGGCTGGGGTTCTTGTCCGTACCGAGTGGAGAAGGAGGAAGGGGGGGGGGATCTCACATTTTTTCGTGACCCCCCCCCCACCGCTTCCGCCCCCCCGAGAGGCTGTGGGCTCATGGGTTTTGGTGCAGCGAGGCTTTGTAGTTCGCTCGCCATTGCGTTCATACCCCCCCCCCCCCCTCTCAGCTTCTTCTTCCTCCTCCTCGTCCTCGCGGGCCATTGTGGCTAAATTGGCTCATAAACAGGTGACAAGGGGAGTGATGTAGTGCAGCTGCTGAGCCGCTGAAATGACGGCTCGTTTCGGATCTGAGGCTCGCACCCCTTTCGTTCCGGGCAGTCCCCCCCCCCGCTTCCCCCGGGCGCGCGACGAGCGGTTGGCGTTAACGCCACGTGACCCCCCCCCCCCCCCCACGAGTTATCTGCCGCACGAGATTTTTGCTACGTGCTCGGGGGGGTGGGGGGGGGGTGGTGGTGGTGGGGGGAAGTGTGGTGGCTTTGGTGGTGGGTGGCTGCGTGAGTGGGTGGGTGCGGTGCGGTGGATGGGTGGGTGGCTGGGTCAAGGGGTGCCACATGTTTGCTGAGTGTGCAGAATAAAATGGAACCACATTTTAAAGGGGGATAGGAAAAGAAATACACCGTAGTGTTACACAACCGCGTGGGTTTTTATTCACGGTGGTGCCGTACGGCCCTTGCCGCGCTCGTCCGGGGGGGGGGGGAGGGGGAGTTGCTGCAGCGTGCCGTCCGACTCCGATGCTTCATTTGCGTTACTCCACGTGCGTGGGAGCTTCTTCAGGGTGCGAATGTTCAGAAAAAAAACCTCCGACCGTGGTTGCCGAGAGGCTTCTGCGCCCTTGCGCTCTCTCTCTCTCCGCTCGCCCGCCCCGCCCGCTCGCTCGCTCGCTCACTCACTCGTCCGATGGCTTGCCCGCTCGCCCGCACCGCAACGCACGCTCACTTTTAATGCGAGGACTTTGGTCGCGAGACGTTTTCCACGATCGAAGACGTGCCTCCGCCTAATTTACGGCGGACGTCCAACGCGAGCGCAGGTAACTTTTTAAATGTTTTTTTTTTTGTCCCCGTGGGGAGTTGAATAGTAGAGTAGACACATTAATCATCTATTTTAGTTTTGCATCTGCTTGGACAGCACGCCTCTGCGCTAATCCACTTTCATGCAGGGGATCTATTATGTATCCGATGTCTCCCTGGAAGCGTCTCTGGTGCTATTCTGGAGTGGCAGTGCTCATTTAATTGACGGTGCACAGCACTGTCAATTTAATAATAATCTTATTCGACAGCCTTTTGTCAGACCCACAATTGAATCGGTGCCTCCACGTGTTGTGTCAGTCGTGGGTTTTGCTTGAGCATAAATCACCTTGCTGGTTACTACATATTGGTGTCGTGGGAGGGAAACCAAGACGGTTGGTTTAGATGTTAGCCGTGGCCAAGCAATTTAAATTCGGTTCATCGGGTTCATAGCAAAATGTGGCGTAGGCACTGTGCCATTGCTATCTTGTAAATACCCGCTATATGTACCATACGACATGCCCAAAGACAATAAAAGTAATTGTCATCAACACGATTCCATCAATGAGGACTAATGGCCAGAATCAGAATCTTTATTTAGACTCGAGGAATCCGGTGTCCAACTGTGATGTCCGGTACAAATTCAATGTGTGAGCATTGGATTGGTGCATCGCAGGACCGCAGGAGTTGGCAACGACTTGGGCAGGCCTCCGTCCAGCAGTTGATTGATCATGATCTCATGAGTAATTAAATGTACATCAAATACATTTGGAGGAATCGCCGCAGTTGTTTGCACCAATGGACGCGATACACACGTATACCCCTCGCCACATTTGGAATCGCGCAGCATAGGCACAAGTCACAAGGGACGCAGACACACGCAGGCGGGCTACAGACATCGCCATCATCTTATCCTCCTCCCCACGCCGTCGCCATCTCTCACGGCCACACGGCGCGACGGCCCTTGCTGGTCCGCTTGCGCGCCAGCCGATTCCGCAGCTCCCGTCTGCGCTGCGGGCGACCTCTCCCCTTTGGCTGCCGCTCTGCCCTCGTTAATCTCCACCACGGGGACGTCGTCCTTCCCGGCGACGCGTCCTGCCCCAAGCCCACTTCGCTGTCCTCGACCGTCGCTGTGATGTCCCCTCGCCTTCGTCTTCTTCTCTTAATAGCCGTCGCACGCCGTGCGTCTTCTTTATCCTGTCCCCTCTTTTCTCCTCCTTCTCCGTTCAGGTTAACTTGTTTGAAAGCCTGGCACATTGATCATGTTTGCTCATGTGCTGGCTGCAGGGAGGGAGGGAGGAAGGAGGGAACACGTGTTTTATTCGTGCGTGTGCACATGTGCGCGTGTGCGTGCACGCGTCCGTCGTGGGGAACAGTGGCGCAGTGGTTCGCACACTGCGCTACAAAGCCCCACAACCTGAGTTTGATTCCCAGCCACGGCTGACATGGGCGGCCAAGCGATATCCGAGCCTCTCCAAGCCTCTGGATCGACTTGGCCTTAAACAGTGCAGTGTGTGAACATCGCCACTGGGGAGACAAAGGCGGCCAGGGGTTGTGCTGGCCACCCACCCACCTCATGTGCCGTGCCGGCCTTCGTAGGTGCTCGCTAACAGCACTTGCTCCTACTGTCTGTGAAGGCTATATGGGGGATCTTTGTCTCTTTTTATGATGCAGGCTTCTGGTATGGTGTATGCGCTGACGTGTGTGTGTGTCTGACGGGTTGTTAAGTGTGGGTGTGTAGGGGATGGTGGGCTGTGTTGGCTGTAATGGGTGGCAAAAGGGCAGTCTGTGTTGTTGTGGGATGTATACATCACTGAGCCCACTCGATCAGAAGACGAGATATCAAGTTTCACGAATGCCAAACTTCAGAGCCAACGTTGACGCAAACGCTCGGAGCAAACATTCTCCTTTTGTAATTATAACTTTCCCAGCAAACATTTCGGTTTGAAAAAGAATACAAAACAAACCTCAACATCATTGTGGTGTATTTTTTCTCCTGTGACACAATGTGAAGAACTATATTTAGAATGTGTAGAGCGTTTCAGTGCTTTGTTTTGGTATATAACAACAACAAAGATGAATCTGTACAATTAGAATTTGAAGACATTTCTATTTTGATAAGTGGCATCATTGTGGTGGCAACAGTTTATGGGACACACGCTGCGCTGCCAGACCGCCCACCTGAGTTCAAATACCAGGCACAGTTAACGTCAGTGCATGCTGAGCGACGTCCAAACCGGTCAGGCCACACTCACCATCCTGGTGAAGTATGGTACAAAAAAAATCCCTTGACCTATAACAGACCGAATGGGGGTGGCCTCCATCCAGAAGGAGATTGATTCAGGGCCGAACATCATTATTATTATTTTTTACGTCAGTATAATGATTATTGTTATTGCAGTAATAAAAAAAATATCAAATAGCCTCATCCCGTAGGCCCTTCTAGTTTACTTGTGCCGGCACGCGGACACGGTGTCCTGCGGCGCCACGTCGCCTCTGTTTGACACGGGCGACAAAAAGACAGAAGAGCGATATTTTTGCCATTAGCGGTGGGTTTTTAGTGCCATTTAAAAAAAAAAGTCCATAACTTTACCTCTCTCGCCACTTAAGCTAATGTGCCGTTCATTTTCCTTGGGGTTTTTTTTCTCTTCTCGCCGGCATCTTCTGTGGCAGGGGGCGGAGGAACATGAAAGCATTGCTCAAAGTCTCGGCTGAGTTTGAGTTCAAATGCGAGTGGCGAGATCCTGTTTCCTGAGCATGCCAGATTAAACCAACTAAACCACTACTCCATTTTACCAGGTAAGGTCTACTGAGCTACGTAGCTTTTTTTCAGAAGCGATCTGGCCACAAATGATTGCTGAACAAAGTGGCTTATCACGTGGAAATGTATAGTAGCCAAATACTCTAAACGTGTGATGTTGTTTCTAAATGTGGAGGGAAAAACCCAGGAGAAAAATCCACGGGGAGAACATGCAAACTCCAAAATATACAGGCGTCAGGGTCGGGATCGACCCCACGACCTCCTGTATACCAGGCGAGGTAGTTAACATCTCGCCCCAGGCCACTTTGGTAAATGAGTATCATATAGGTCTCTTAAGCTCTAAGCTAATTAAACAAAATCAATTTGACATTGGAATGAATTAAAGCATGTCACGTGTCTGCACACACTATATATATACATATTGGTCTATATAACAACCAATATGTGAGTGCAGGACAAATAGGAATATCAAAGGCACAGATCATTATTTTTATCACAATCTGGCACCTATCACGACATTACCACGTGAAATATGGAGAAACCCCACCACGGCTCTTAACCATCGGTGTGAATGAACAGATTGTTACGTATGAACCACAACGCTTTTAAACCACGTGTCACGATCAAACGAGTTAACATCCGAATGTCCGCTCAAGTGAAATAATCGGTCGTTATCTTTTGAAAAAGTCGCCGGGGTCGGCGTGTGCAGTCGCACACGACGACGAAGCGAATTCACGCCGGTGGCTCGGATGGATATAAATCGCGTAAACATTCACGGCTCTTCCCGCGCGCGTTCGTCGCTGCGACACCGTCCCCCCTTCGCGCGGCGCAAAACCCGACCTAGGGTGCGTTCGCGACAAGCCGATCGGAGAGAGCCGGCCGGGCACGGCGCAGCCGCGACGGGGTCTCAGCGCAGCTCCGTGGCGCCGTAACGTTCGCAAGGGAATCTAAAATAAGTGGGGTTTGACAGGTGACCGCCCGCGCCCGGATGCAGATGCCTATTTAAGGAGGTCCGGACCGATTTAAATCCAAAGCTCGCCCGTCAGATGCTTGAAGGCAGCATCTGCTCGCGCTGCTTAATGTATTCAAATGTGGGGCAAATTGGAGCACAAAAGCTGACCCGCGGGGGCCTGCTTAGTATACGGGGATGACTCGCAGGCGAGTTCGGTGTACCTCCGCGCTCCTCCACGAAGAGCCGTCTTGTGTACATTGAATAACAACGTGCGTCAATCCACTGCTGGATGAAGTCCCCAACCACCCCCCCCCCCCCCCCAATATTTGACCATGCTGGTCAGTGCGGGTTTGTGAAGGCGGGGGAGGATGGACCCGTACACGCGGCGAAACCCCACGCGTACGCGACGCGATCGGCACTCGATAAGCGCCGTGCAGATAGATTCACTCCTAGGGCTGCAGGACCCACCACAGCCTCCCCAGCCCAGCAGTATGTGTGGCGGAGGTGGTGAACGGTGCGCGCGGAGGAAACCGGAGGGACCCGGAGAACCGGGCACACGCATTGCGCCTCGCCGCCACACCTCGCATCCCGGTGCCTACAAGCCCCGGCGGTCGCCAACATCCGAGTACGAATCGGGCTCAACGGCTCCTTAACTTCTGACATACGATATACGTGCATATTTATTTGTGGCTTATCCCGCAGTAAGGTCTGCAGGTCAAAACACAGATCGTTAATACTATTAAGTGGATTACCGTCGTAAGAGTGGGGCCCGATTTAAGGCTGCACTGGGCCCCAAGCCAGACCAACTTTGTTTGGGCCCTGCCCACCCACATCATGCGAATGAGACACTCGCTCTCTGTGCATCCCCGCTCTCTACCGTTCCTTCTCTCTCCCCACGTATCCTTCCCCCCATGTTTGCTCCCTCCCCGTGCATCTACTCGCTCGCTTCCCATCTATCTTCTCTCCCCCCCTCCCCATGCTTCCTCTCCCCCGTGTATGCTCTCTCCCCATGTATCCTCTCTCTCTCACCCCATGCGTCCTCTCCCCATGTATGCTCACTCCACGTACATCCTCTCTCTCCATCTATCCTCCCTGTACTTTCCCTCTCCCCGTGTATCCTCCCCCCCTGCATCCTCTCTCCCCGTGCTTACACAGCCTCTGACCCCCCCCCCCCCTCAAGAGCTATCGTATCACCAGCGACACCCCACCCTGCCACCTTTGTCCAACCTCTGGCTCATCATGGCCAGCTGTAGTGAAGACCTAACGCCGAAGACCCCCCCGTGTGGCTGGGAGCTGTGCCAGGGATTAATGGATAATCCAGGCCGGCTCGCCTCTTGTCTGATGAACACTGTCCACAGCTCACTCAACCTGACACGGGGTTCTGTGCCCCCGCGTCCATCGTCCGTCCGCATTTGCAATTCTGATTTCGAGGGGTTTCTTTTTTTTTTTGAAGGCGCGCCCGCGACGGTTTCGCGAAAGTCGCGCGCGGTGCCGACGGGACTCGACGGAGAGGCGAGGTGACACGAGGCATCCTGGCCCTGTCGAGAGATGTTAACTCCCTCGCCTGGTATGCAGGATCTCCTGGATTCGATCCCGACCCTGACACCTGCTGTATATTTGGAGTTTGCGTGTCTCTCCCTCTCTCTCCCCGCGGTCATGTGGATTTTTCTCCGGGCCCTCCGATTTTTCCCCTCCACATTTAGAAACATGCATTTCAAATATTTGGCTGCTGTACATTCCCACATGATAAGCCACTTCGTTGAGCTATCATTTGTGGCCAGGTCGCTTCTGAAAAAGAGCTACATAGCTCTGTGGGCCTTACCTGGTAAAATAAAAATAAAATAGTTTTTGGTTCATAATCTGGGGTCTAACACCAACCCCTGCAAATTCTCACAGCCGAAATGTGTTCATGAATTACGCAAGAAAAAATCATTGTAATTACAGTGGATGCATTGCACACGATTGGAATGTATACGCTCACACCCACGAGTAAATTATTGTTTTAAAATGACGTTGCCGGTTGGGTAAAACACAAGCGACTGTTGGTTTAAGTCCACCTAGATCGTGATACTAAACCCAAGCGATGAGTTTGTTGAACCCATGTCATTGATAATTCAAGCCTTTGGAATCTTTGTGTTAAACAACCGGTGGTCTAAACTCCATATGATTGGGTGTGTGCGATACCGATGTGATCTACTTGTTAAACCCACGTGATCAGGATACTAAACCCATATGTGCGGTGGTCTTGTATGTGCTGTATGTGCTGTATGTATGTATGTTGAACTTCTTTCGCACCCTACATCGCCGACCGTGCTAATCGGAGGTGCGGGGGAAGGACAACGAACCAGGGGTGGGGAACCATTTTCATTACTAAGGGACCGACCGGGGCTTTCTACATATCCTACATATACCTTTGGAGGGCCACACATTAACCGAATGAAGCCCGTTTATCTAAGCAGCTCTTTGTCAAGGGTGACTCGGCTGGCATGGCAGACAACGCACGCACGCACGCACGCACCCCGATCGTTTATGCCACCGAAAATGTCCCCTTTGCAGTGGAAAAATTCCCCCTGCAGCACCCGATTTTAACCGCAGCTGTAAAGCGCGCACGCAGTGATGGATAAGTGTCGTTTTGCGGGCTGTCCCAAGAGTGGTAGGTCACACGTGGCCACAGGGTCCGTGCGAGATGAAGCTGCGGGGGCCCCTCCTCGCCTGCGCGGCCCAGGGGGCCCCGCGGGTTCACCGCCGCCCCCTTGCATAAGCCCGCGCGCGGCCGGCGTGCCAAGCTCGCATGCGACCGTCGGAGCTAAGCCCCCGCATGCGCCCGCTCTCGCCCGCGTAGGGAGGTGGCCGTCGAGGAGGGCGGCGACGCTGCGGGCGCGACGATGGAGAAGGCGGTGGGCAAGCTCGCGTACGAGATGCAACGCAACTCCATCTCCGACGACGACTCTGGCTGCGCCCTCGAGGAGTACACATGGGTCCCGCCAGGACTCAAGCCCGAGCAGGTAGCTTCCTCCTTCCGCGGCCGCCCTTCATTGTCGCGTTCTCGCCACTGTCCAGCCTGGCTTGCGTGGTGCAGCGGTAACATTCGTGCCTCGCAGCGACCAAGGGCTTCTTGGGTTCCTTTCCCGGCTCGGTTCACCTTTCCACGTGGGGTTCGCGGTGTTCTTCTCTTGTTATGCGTGGGATTCCTCCGGGGATCTCCAGTTTCCTCCCGAAGCCGAGCAAAAAAAAAAAAAATCGCATAACTGGGATTGGCTGAATGTCCCAATGTTGAAATATTACCTGCAAATTACTGAATCGGGATAATGCTTTACGGTGAAAACTTGGCAGGATGCTCCTGAAAAGAGTATTTCGTGATCGGTGAGGCTTTCCTGGCGGTGAACGTACCTCTTATGGCATCTTAGAGACGTGCATCGAGCGTTTAATTTAAAGGGGGGGGGGTGGTCTCCTAAAGTCACTTGAGAGGCGGTGCAGTTCTGTGACGTCATCTTCCGGCGACCCTCCTCCGACACAGGTTGGTGCACCGCTCGCTACGGCAAGAGCTCCGAATTAGGAAGTTTCTTCATCCACTTCACAGTTGGCGACGGGAAGATAACGAGGGAGGAAAGCCCCCCCCCCCACCCCACCCCCCCCCCCCCCCCCCCCCCGTCGTTGCCTGATAGTTTCTTCCCAAGTTTTAGTTTTTTTTGCTGGCTCTTGGGAGCGAGCGTTATATTTATGGCGCGCTTCCGTTGGCTTTGACGAACGCAAGCTGGACGCTTCGGCGATCGGTAATAATCCGCGTGGCCGTAAACCTGTCTCTTGACGAGCGTAAACGGGGGCTGACCGCTGCCGCCGCCGTACCCCGAATCCACCAGTCGTCTCCCCGTCGCGGCCCTCCAACCCCCCCCCCTCCCGGCGTCGCACGTGCCCGAACCCCTTGCCGGCGCTCGCAAACGCCGCCGGGACGATTCCAATGGCCGCGCGGCCACGCAGCTGCTACCATATCCGCCGCCAACGGCATTTGGGACTTACCGCTCTGTCATTTTGGAGTGGCGGCGCAGCGGTTGGCTCACTGTGCTGTGAAGACAGCGAGCCGAGCTTTATTTCAGGCCATGGCCAATATCATGCTTGATGCCACTTTTTTTGTAGCAAGTTTTATTGGCCGGTGCCATGAAGCATGGTCAAATAGCATGCAGGACCTGCACGGCTTGGGGAAGCCCTCATCCAGCAGCGCATTGACAAAGGAAGAATTACTTGTTACGACAAATGGTGAAAACTTTTTTGTTTTATCACGTTGGGCGACTTCATCGGCAGTCACAACTCCATTGTTGTGCTGCACTTCTCTGCTCCCACGTCCATTCCTCTTGCGGCTTCATGAACTGACCCGCTAGACCCACACTGCATGGATCAGGCCTAGCACGTCCAGAAGTGGAGTGCCAAAAAGGCCATGCATCGTCGTCGCCTTACTCTCTTTCTCTCCCGCATGAGGAAAAATTCTTAAACTTGATTTTACATAAGGCCCCATGGGTGTGTTCAGTGCAGTCCAACCCTTATTACCCACTCTATCTCTGTGGTCTCTCTGTGCATTGTGCTATGAATGACGACGAATGGTCTTTGCCCAAGACGTCGCCCTCCTGTCGCATGCCCCCCGCCCCCCCGCCCCTCCTGAAGGCCGCCACGCAGTTGCTGTTGACCAAGCTGCCGAGCGCTTGCTACTATCTGAGTCCTTGGCGAGCGGCGACAGAAGCGGGGGGGGGGGGGGGTGGAAACTAAACGAGCGTCGCTTTACCGGTGGCCCACGTAACCTTCACGGCTAACGACAGCAGGAAGCTCACGTGACCCAAAAAATTGCTGCCCCCCCCCCTCGGATGTACAGTGCGGTGCAAAATTCGGTCGCGCGCAACTCTTTCCCCACGGCGCGACTTTGGCTTGCAGCCGGCGCCGTCAGGAGCCACCGCCACCGCTCTGCGTTTGAAGTGCGGCTGTGAAATGCCCCAGATTCGTCGTTGTCGTCGTGGGGATTTTTTTCTCGTCTTCTTCCAAAGGCACCAAACTCTGCGGTCATTGCACGTTTGTTTTTGGGGGGGGTGGGGGGGGGGGTTTGCTGGAGACGGAGATGATTTTGACACGAAAGCTCTCTCGTGACCGCCCGCCCGCCCGCGCACGATGTAAGCAGCGTCAAAACCCAGAAAGTTAACCCCGTTTTAAATTATTTTATAGGACTCGTACTTTCATTCGCAAATAGACTTTTGTACCCGGAGATTGAGGGGGTGGTGGTGGTGTGGGGGGGGGGGGGGGAGGTGGATTGGCTGCCGTGGTTTAACGGACAGCACGCACTCGACTTGCAAGACAGAGGTCGCCAGTTCGATTAGATCTTCCGGCGCGGCAGTTGAACCGATGGGGCAAGTTTATCAGTTTCACCTCCACCTCTGTCCCACCCAGCGGTTATGAATGGTGGGGTAAAGTGTGGGTACTTGCACGTCTTCTGGCCAATGTGGAAGAGTAGAGGGTGGGGGGCGGGAGACTTTTTACTGCTCCCTCTCGGGTAGGGCCTTCAGTCCCGGGGTGACGTGAGCAAGAAATTAATTGTGAGGCTGTACCTCTACCTTTTTGGTGTGTGCGTGTGGTCACCTGTATGCCATGCATGCCTGCGGGCGCAGCGCACAATTGAAATCGGTAAACGGTGACACGGCCATTTGCAAATAGCCTCGGGTCCACGGCGATTAACCTCGACCCAACTCGATTCCCCAGAGGAGTCCCAGCGACAGCCAAAGAGGGAGTCCTAGGGACAGCCAAAGAGGGGTCCCAGGGACAGCCAACGAGGGGTCCCAGGGACAGCCAAAGAGGGGTCCCAGGGACAGCCAACGAGGGAGTCCTAGGGACAGCCAACGAGGGGTCCCAGGGACAGCCAAAGAGGGGTCCCAGGGACAGCCAACGAGGGGTCCCAGGGACAGCCAAAGAGGGGTCCCAGGGACAGCCAAAGAGGGGTCCCAGGGACAGCCAAAGAGGGAGTCCTAGGGACAGCCAAAGAGGGGTCCCAGGGACAGCCAAAGAGGGGTCCCAGGGACAGCCAAAGAGGGGTCCCAGGGACAGCCAACGAGGGAGTCCTAGGGACAGCCAAAGAGGGGTCCCAGGGACAGCCAAAGAGGGGTCCCAGGGACAGCCAACGAGGGGTCCCAGCGACAGCCAAAGAGGGGTCCCAGGGACAGCCAAAGAGGGGTCCCAGAGACAGCCAACGAGGGGTCCCAGGGACAGCCAACGAGGGAGTCCTAGGGACAGCCAACGAGGGGTCCCAGGGACAGCCAAAGAGGGGTCCCAGGGACAGCCAAAGAGGGGTCCCAGGGACAGCCAACGAGGGAGTCCTAGGGACAGCCAAAGAGGGGTCCCAGGGACGGCCAAAGAGGGGTCCCAGGGACAGCCAACGAGGGGTCCCAGCGACAGCCAAAGAGGGGTCCCAGGGACAGCCAAAGAGGGGTCCCAGAGACAGCCAACGAGGGGTCCCAGGGGACAGCCAACGAGGGGTCCCAGGGGACAGCCAACGAGGGGTCCCAGAGACAGCCAACGAGGGGTCCCAGGGACAGCCAACGAGGGGTCCCAGGGACAGCCAACGAAGGGTCCCAGAGACAGCCAACGAAGGGTCCCAGGGACAGCCAACGAGGGGTCCTAGGGACAGCCAACGAGTCCGGACGCGGCCGGGCGCGTTAGCACACGCCTGCGCAGTCCGGCGCTTTGGGACGCCGCTGGTTGGTAGGGTCACACCCGAGATTTGCGAAACTCCCAAACCCTAGCGGGCTCAAGGATTGCCAAAGATATTCCTGGGATAGTGGTGGAAATTCCACGTCACTATGGCTCTCATGAGTAACGAAGTCTCCCTGTTCGGCACCATGACAAGGCATTTCGCAAACACGTTCTGGGAGCTTCTACAAAGACTGAATCGTAGAAGCTCCCGTAGCATGTGGAGTGAAACGTTGGACATCATGCCTAAATACGCACGTGCATACGTGCATAGCGCCTTACCCAATGAGGCATGGATTACGTCTTAGTTGCTGCGTGGATGGCGACACTGATCCATAATCCGCAGATAAGGGTTCAGCTAAAGCCAGCAAGCCAAACATTAGCTCTCCAATGCCGTCCTAATCTCTCGCACTCTTCCTCCTCATGCTGCCTCTTCTCGGAGTGGGAACCGCCCCTCGCCTCCCCTCCAGCCCTTAAGCTCAATTATCAACAGCAGCAAACGTTTTTCACACATACGTGAAGATACGTATGAAAAAAGCAGCGGTAGCTTTAACACCAGTGACTTCAGATTGGTAGACCAGAACACGCATACACATTTATTTTAGTCCATCAACCTTTTGGCTCTCCAGACCAATTTTACCCAGCGGCAGTTGTTTAAGCAACAAAAAAACAGCGGACAGTTTGGTTAAAAAGTGGATGGTCGGTCATAAAGTCATAAAAAAATTCGACACTCTCCTCCCCTTGTCCCCTCCCAACCGCTTTTTAAAATCTGATTAGTACAACAAAAGCAAGCGATGTCTTGGGTAACGATAGTTGCGCCTTATCAGCGATGAAGAAAAGATTCCGGGCCTGTTCTTTCTCATTTCTTGAAGGCGGCTTAATTGGGAGTTTACAGAAAAATAAAAGGGGCAGAGCGTGGCGACTCGATTGGTTCAGGGCAATTTTGGAGATAAAGCTTTCCGCCTTATCAGCCACTGCCGGTCGGTCGCCCCATCCGTTCTGCCAACCCTCCAACCATCTCGCCCTCTGCCCCCCTTTCTGTAGCCGCGTGTTACGTGCGCTGCTCCTCCTGCTCTTGCTCCGTCCTCCTCTCGCTCCCTATCAGATGCCCCCTACCCCAACCCATAAAAACACTGCCACCAACAACAACAGCAGCGACAGGAGAGGGAACAAAGTTAAAAGGCGGGGAGAGAGAGAGAGAGGAACCTCTTATCGCCTCTAATAGGGCCTGACAGTGAAGGCGAGAGCCTTTGACGGTGAGCAGACAGCTGGGTTGGGTTGGGTT